TTTTGTTGTCACAGTATTATAATTAAAATGTTCAAAGGAGTGATAAGAACCTTTAGGAAAACACAAAATACATAAATACAAATATTTTTCACAAATCATTGAAAACATACATACATCGTCTAGTTATCGCTAGGTATCATCTCTAGGTATCCTCTACACAGATACTCCTGGCTATAGTTGATTTTTAAAAAAGGTTTATTTTCTCATCGTTTTTAAAGCATTTTGTCTGTTCAGTTATTCACCGTTGTAAATGCTTGCTATAGAAAGAGTTATGTGGAAAAATAGAAACACACCATAGATTCTAACTGTGAACTTCTTGTCTATTTTAACAAGTCCTTCCCAGTATCTCTCTCGCTCTCCCTCTCCGGAGAAACATTGCAAAGTGGGAGAAATTGCAATATAATATAAAATAAATGATCAAACATGTTGGAGATGCATAATTTAAATATCCAAATCTAACTTTTCTTGGCACAAAATTCAAATTACTATAAACTACTGTAGTATAAACTACTATAAACAAATGACATTGATGTTAAAAGCCTCATGTGTTTTACGGAAAGACTGTCAATCTGGTTACTATGTTTTCTCTGGTGCCTCTTTCCTTCCTTTTCAAGCTATAAATGCAACATGACAAGCCTGAATTTGTAATCCCTGCTGTTAACTAGCTAAGAATTACAGATGTCCTCTTGCGTTTATTACTCTATCATCTATTAGCTTCAGTCCAGTTCAATAGTAATATTTTTTTTCTTGTTTAATGAAAAAAAGACGCGTAAGTACAAAAATATTTCCTCTTATTAGTTGAATATTGTCCTTTCTTATTTTGGAAATTAACCTTCTGACAATATATTTCTCATGACTTTTTTCTTCATATAAGATGTTTTATATAATATTGCAATATAACATCATCATTTGCTATGAACGGAAATGAAAACCTAGGATCTAATGTACTTCTTTCATTAGAAGCAAGCACTTTTTTTTTCCAGGGCAGACGAACCTTGGATACATTGGCTTCTTTGGGTTCTCCCTTTATTTAAGCCATCTATTCTATCCCAAATATCTGATTTCAGAAGCAAAATTAGATGTTACATTAAGCTACACTGATTACATGTGTATTAAAATAGCAACTTATGGGGGAAAGGCAGACTTGTCTAATTCTCAATCATAACCTCATTCCTAATATATATTATGCTTTGAACAAATTTCTCACTGTACCCAATCTAAGTGAGGTTCTAGACCATTATTTAAAGTATCTCAGTAGTGTCTTGGAGTTATAAAATATCTGGGAAGATATGTTCCATGGAAAAGTGATCTAAATGAGAACCCAAACTTGATCAGGCTCTGTGTGATTATGCTTTTTTCCATACACTGAGATCTCGTAAACAACCTTTTTACAACTGTTCTGCTTGTAGTTCTGATATAGCCAGAACTATATATGGCCTGCAATGGTGCCAAAAAAAAGTAGTCACAGTTATGCAATTAAAGCATCATTCCTTTTTATGTGTGTAGCAACATACACAGACACACACAAAAGGGGAGAGGACTTTAGTTACATGGTCGGGGCTGCCATCTTAATTTTTTTAACTCCTTCCTGTGGATACACCTGGATCATACCTTCTAATGGCTGAATGAAGTAGAATGTGATCACACTGAAGCAATTTCTAATTATGAGCTCAATACTATAAGAGCCATCAGTTTCTAATATATAGATCACATGAGGAACTTCTGGGTTTTAATCAATTAAATAACTTGACTGGGTTCTATGGAACCTTCATTCTCTGACAGGATAGTTCTTCAAAACCTGGAGTGTGTACAGATTGCCATCAATTGTAACCATTCAGGCAATAGGATAAAGATGTTATTAAATTAACTGGATTGAAAGCTATCGGGAAAATGCCTGGCTAAACACGTGTGGGAAATGGAAAAATGTCCCTGAAGAAGAGAATGATAAGCCCTTTCTATATTGTTACTAAGAATGTTACATGGATCTGTTCATAAAATCATCAAGAATCAAGTTGCCTCAAGGGAGTCATACTGCATATTTTGATTTATTAACATTCAATTTGGATTCAATCTTAATTTCAATTATATCAATTTAGTTTTTCTACTACCCATCCAATTTATGGCCAGTAACACATCACTTGAGACAAATGTGGATCTCAGTTATCTAAGCTGCTAGCCATCATTTTATCTTATGATCTTGATTTCTGTATGCTAAATGAAGAAGGGTGATCTACTAATTATTTCGGGAAGATTTTAGATCTTCTGCTCAACATTCTATCTTGAAGATACAGAAGCTTTTGTTCCTCAGCCCTAAATGAAAATATTTGAGATTAAATTAGTAAAATTGCATGAAAAGTTAGCAGTGTTCACCCGACACATTTACTCTTTGTTCTCAAAAAATAGAGAGTAGACCTGGGATCTGAGCAATGCTGATAATGGGCGAGTGTTTATAATTTGTCTGAGGTAAGGGCAGCTCTAAAGAATAGATGAGAATCAACACAATTTAAATTAAATACAAACTGTTGATATGACCACTTCTTATGAATAACATACCTTTGAATAATTTCTGCATTCTGAAATTTTAGTTCAGTATCAATCTTTCATGAAGCTTCTGGACTAGACTAAATATGTCAGATCTCCTAGTAGTTCAGTTTTACACCTTGGTTAGAAATTAGAAGTATAGCATGTAGTTCAGAAGAGCCTTGATAGTGAAAATAAGTTTTAGGAATAGTTTTATCAGTGAGCTTGGAATAATGTTAATATCAATATCTCAATAACCAGAGTTCTGGCAAACTCACCTTGATGATTTCAGCAATAAGCTTAGCAATTCTAGTTAGGCCATAAGATTTGTACAATCATGCTTGAGATGGATAATGTGGAAGGAGATAGTATAATCAGAAATTATGTTCAAGTAAGGTGGGCAAGGTGACATGTTAATAATACTGAGAAATAAAATTATTTTCTTCAAATAGAAGACAATTCCATTCAATTTCATGGAATGGTTATATAGCCATTACTTTTCTTCCCAAGAGCAGTGCTGAGGTTTCACGATCCATTTGTCAGATAGTTGAACTGAGATTTGCCTTATAACACAATGTTATACATGTCTACTTAGAGATTATAACACAACGTTATACATGTCTACTTAGAGATAAGCCTTATGGACCATAATTTATGTGTTTAGGAATTCAAAGAAAAAGTGAGGAGTTATGACTGTTGAATTCATTGTGAATGTATAAAAATAAATAAATAAAAAGAAATTAATTAAAACTGTCTCAAAACAAAGTTCAGTCAGAAATGTCAGACAATACTGCAATGTAAAACAAATACAAGACAATGTAAGGGTTCAGCTGACTATATACCAAAATGGATTTAAATATATTTTTCAAAAATGAAATATAAAGACCCAAATTTCCTCTTAAGAAGGGATGTGCAAGGAGATACGTTTGTTCATCATAGCTGAATGAAGTTTTCAACCTGACTTTTAACCAGTAAATCTTCAATTTAAGCTCACAAAGTGAGTTTAGACAAATTGTTCTTCCTTTGTGAATCCTTTACAAGGGTTTTAAGGCTATAATGAATATGTTCTTCTGAACTTCTTGGACAAAGAGCACTATGCAAATGTAAATATGATAATTTCGTATCTTAAGGAGCTTTATATGCAAAAGAGAAGTCCAAAAGTGTAATATATGCATCAGTAGGTGCTCTTTCTTCAAAACAGGTGTCATTTCTTTTGTGTAGTGGGATGTGAACATATATCTAATTGTAAATGCATGTTGTGTATATGTCACAATTCTGCAGCACCCTGTTTCTGTTTGGCAAAGGCTTAGTTCCTTCACTTCTTTTTTTTCCTCTATCCACACAATTATGTAACAGAAGAGCCAAAACATATATTAATTTTTCTCCATCCAACAAGTGGATGGTAATATAAAAAGAAACTAATATGCTTAATTTGCTATGTTCAGTCATATCCTAAAACAGTGTTTTAAATCTTCAGAAAATTAAGTGGACTCCTTATCTGTTTAAGATACTTTTTAAATCTTGGATTATTAGCCTGTTAACCAAGCTATCTCCTCATGTTTCTTGTGCTTTATAATTGGCATATCTTTTTAAAAAGCAGCTGAAACCCCCTTTTTAAAAAGTTCATTAGGGAAATAAATAATAAATAAATTATGCTAAATATCCCCACAGCCACCTTTTCCTTATTGCAAGGGACTAACATCACATTATATCTGAAAAAGATCTTGTATCATAATATTTTTTAAAAACACATGCTTTGACTATGGATGCTTCCAAACATGCAATTCCTAGCATTATCAATCAAAAGCAGTAATGTCCCTTGTAGATTTCTGAGATAAGAAAAACGAAGATTGAGGTGGGTTACATTTAAAAGAAAACAATATTTGAATCCTCCTATGATTTCCATAAATGAGACTGTATGTTGGTTCAGTAAAAGCTTTCCCTGAAAGCACCCACTGAGTAGACAAACCAAAACATCACATTGCTTATCACTTTGAGGAACTTAGAGTGTCTTTGTCTTGAACAAATTTTGTATTAAGATATGAATGTCCAGCTTGTATTAACAAAAGCTTATGTCCAGTCACTTATGTCCTTATAAGCTCATGTCCAAGGGAAACAATGTAAAAGACTTGGACATCTTCACTTCTTATTTTTATATGTAGATCGGTCATGCAAACAATATGATATTTCTACAAGCAGAAATTTAAAATTTGCACAAAACTTGCAATAAGAATATTTCTCTCCTTCCCTCTTACATCTGTCATACACACAGATTTTTTTTTATTTACTTTCTCTCCATCTCCTCCCTTCTCCCTCCCTCCATCCCCCTCCCTCCCTCCCTTCTTTTTTTGTAACTCCATCTAGTAACATGCTGCCCTGGGTTCCCCTTCCTCTAGCCACAACAATATATCGCATCCTATACTTGCAGTAAGAAAGCTATTACTTGAGTCACCCACTGAGAAATGCTCCACAATCTTTGCTCAGTAGAGTCCCATGATGGCAATGCCAACATCTTTGGATGGCCGGCGGTCTTTGACCAAAAAGTTGATCATGCTCTCTGATTTGATGAGCAGGTTGCAGCCTAAAAAGAACACCCCAAAGATGACAGTCAATGAGAGGACACAAAGAACAGCAATCTGGACCACTTGGGTGATGAAGAGGTTCCTTTCATCTGGGAGCAGGATGGATGCCCCTCCATCGCTGGCCACCACTGTTCCTGTCCCATTGCAGCAGCCAATCAAAATCCCCAGATCTTGGGATCGATTGGAAAACATACCTTCTTCCAACAGTGTTTGGTTAAATAAGGTCCCATTCATTCTGTATTTCAATCCAATGGAAGTTCCGGAAAAATGAAAACAGTAAGCCTTCTTTTGCTGAGTGACCCTAAATGATATAAGGACTCCTCAGTAGTCAGCAAAGCTGTCTCCTGCTTCTTGATCTTCTTGTACAAAGGCACTGTCAGCACAAGAAGGTAGACAGCTGTAAAAGGACAAGGAAACCACCAACACCACTCTATCCAATCTTTAAGAGAAACAGGGCAATTCCAAACGTCAGATTTCCAAGCAGCTGGGAGCATGTGCTGTCAAACAGGCTGGAATCTCAAGAGATGCATGTTGCATTGCACAGTAAAGTCTGTAAGCAGCATGATAAAAACAACTTGCAGGGGGGGAAAAACTCCACCCCAAACTGATCCTAAGCACCACCTTCATCCACCACTACAGGCAGAGAGCTGCCAGTCTGCTAACAGTCCTTCTCTATCCAGAAGAAAACCAGTTCGGTACAAAGAGTTCATGTGCTGAGATGATGCACTAGCATTACCAAACACATAGAAATCTTTTCTCCAAAGAGCTCCTGAAGTGCTGTGTGTAAATCCATTCTTTCGCTGTATCTAATCACTAGCTTATCAGCTGCAACTCCAGTTGAAAACTGTTCTCCCTGAGATTAGCAAAGAATACCTCTTCTTACAGTTTTAAAGGGAAAGACTCTGCATGGGCTTTGAACCTGATAAGTTTCTTTCTTTCCCAGACTCTGTGTTGATCAGCCTTTTTCCAGTCTTTCAAACAAAAAATCTTTTTTCATAGTTTCAGTATCTTTTACTAGTTTAATCTCTAATGGGTATTTGCAAGCATTTTTCCTTGCTATGGATTGGAAAGGGTGGGAAGCTAATTTGAGGATTCTTGCATCAAAATTCACCCTAGATTATAAGCACTGTATGCAATGAGTTTATCCTCATTTCTTATGCATCATAAAATGTGTTTCCCCCAAATAGTGCTTCTGATTAGAATGAGGCTCGGGTACCTTTCCTAAGCCAGCACTACCTTTTTAGGTGATCATTTTTGTTTTGTTTATCTATTATGTTTATGGAAAACTACCTAAGAAAATTATTTTCTGGACTATTTTTACCCTAGAGGATACAACTGTTGTACTGTAGTAGTACAACTGATTAATATGACAAAATCAGAGTAATATTTGGGTAGATCAATAGTTGCAGAAGAGGAATCAAGCCGTATGCTGTCATATTTATATGCAGAGACAAATGCAACCATTATTGAAACAGAATGTAGACTACATTGTTTGTGATCTGATCCGGGATCAACAGAGTTCTTCTTACATTCTTACAATGTAAAATTCTTAATATCATAAAATAATGTGGGACATAAATTGTTTTTTTTTTATAAATGGTTCTTAGCAAAATTAAAGCAGTGACCAAGTATGCACATAGTGTTTTACAAGAGTATATATTGATGTTTTCAAAGAACTAAAATGTTTTTAAATAACATTTTAGTGCCAAAGCGCCTAGCATGAATGCTGCAGGGAAAGCATTTTCTAGGAAAGGAATACTACAATTATTATGATTATGATACTAAACGGGCAGGAATACCCAACGCCCTAGATGATAGGTCAAGATCCAGATGGATCTTGACAGACTTGAAAACTGAGTCCTATCTAACAAAATGAAATTCAATGTAGAGAAAAGTAAAGTCTTACACTTAGGCAAGAAAAATCAAAAATACACATATAGACTGGGTGAAACCAGGCTTAATAGCAGTAACTGTGAGAGGGATCTTGGAGTCTTAGTGGACAACCAATTAAATGTGAGCCAATAGTCTATGGCAGCAGCCAAAAAAGCCAACGCAATTCTAAATTGCATTAACAGAGGGATACAATCAGGGTGGGATTCAAATTTTTTAATAACTGGTTCTGTGGGTGTGGCTTAGGTGGTGGGTGTGGCTTGGTGGTCATGTGACTGGGTGGACATGGCTTGGTGGTCATGTTATTGGCTGGGTGTGTCCAACTCAATATCACTCACATTGAGGCACGCATCTCCTCGCCTGGCCTCTCAAGACTGTGGGGATGCTGCAACAGTCGTAAGTGTGAAAAATGGTCATAAGTCACTTTGTTCAGTGCCATTGTAACTTTGAATGGTCACTCCACACAAGCAAACTACCAGCAAAGGAAGGGAAATAAACTCCAGAGAGGTTCCTGAGACAGGAAGTCTAGTCCTGCCAAGAATGTAATCAGGGTTGACGGAGAGGCAGTTCCTGTAAGCAACACCAGAATGTTTCCTTCCTGCCTTCCTTACAGGATTAGGCCAGTAATTTCTTCTAACAACTGGTTCTCCGAACTGCTTAGAATGTTAACAACTCTAGCAAATAGGTGCAAACTGGTAGAATCCCACCTCTGGATACAATCAAGGTAAGGGAGGTACTAATATTAATACCAGTTTATAAAGCCTCAGTAAGATCACACCTAGAATAGCTAAAGACCACCCGGTGAATCCCCTCTGCATTGGACTAAATCTCATTCAATTCTAATTCTGCATGGACAAATTGTTATACTGGGAAATTATAATGGAAAGCATACTCCAATATATCTAATGCTGGTGTGGACACAGTTAGAATGCATAATTGAAAATTATGCTAAATAACGGAGATGAGAATCTTGGCAATGGCCTTAGTTTCACTTTTTACATGATGCTGAGGTAGAAAAGAAGTTTGGAAGAAACAAATGCCCTCAAGGAATGAGTCATATACAAAATCTACAGTCCTTCAATAAATCCACTTCTTTAGCTCCTCCCTGAGTTTGTAATATAAATTCTCATGCATGTCTCCATAGCCAGGATTTAACTGTAATTAGTTCACTGTATTCCAAATGGTCCTGCTCACAAGGAGAACTTAAACTCTCAAGTAGCTCTTCCACTCCCAAGGAGACTCCTGTTTTGATGGACCTTGTTGCCAAAGATACTATACTATATAAGAGTGTAGACATACTTTCAAGAGTGCAGACAGGTTGAATAAAAAAAAATCTTTTACTGCTTGGAGCTTGGTCCTGTATAAGCAATCAAGTGATACGATTTTGGAATAGCTGTAAACATGTTCAGGTTGGGAATTAGAACTGGAAGTCTACCTTCGATTCAATTTTCCTCAGTTTCAGTTGCATGTTTAGAAACAAGCTAGGAAAATGGCTTTGCTTGACTGTGAGGATTTTATTTTTGCACGGTAGAGGGCAGCAAAACTACAGAGACCAAATGAGATCAAAAGGCTACATGTGACTCATCCGCCTGTACATTAAAGAAGCTCAAATGCTTTCAGACAGTTTTGAAGTCCTTTACTAAGAGATTCCTGACATATCATTTTCCCATCCCATTAATGCCTTCTTTTGATAGTGTGTTGAGTGTATCTTATTTAATTAAGTAGGTAGCAAGCACCAGGAATTTTTACTTGCATTCGGATGAACATGCATGTAGGTTAAAAATATTCAGGACATCATCCAAAAAAAATAATGATGAAATATTAGCCCCCTCCCACATCCCCTTGTGTAAGTTCCAAATTAAATTTCTTCAGTCTTGGTTAACATCTAGTCCCTTTGCCTTGACTTGGAAAGTTGTGAGGAATGTCTGCTGAAATATCAGAAGGAGAGGAGGATAAGGGATGCATTGTTTCCCATGTTTAACAAAAGCAGAAGAAGCCAGTAAAATTGTACAATGGGTTTATATTTGGTGTAGTTTATATGATTTATATTGATAGTGGAATTCAGTTTTTCTAAATTAGAACTGCAGGATGCAATTTTTTTAAAGCATTACACATAGCACCTTACCTATTCTATGCTTTATTCAACCATCTCAAATCTCTGAGTTTGTATCTGATACTTCTTGATCCCTTAAAATCTGTTCTGTAATTATCTCTAGAGCTATAATTGCTATACAAATTCTTTGATAAATTGAAAGTTTTGAGAGGGTTATGCAAAGCTGTAGGTGGATATACAAACTAACCCATCTAAAATCAGCTTCAAAGAAGAGCGTTTATGTAAATATTTCTCCAAGGATTATATACTTCTGTGAGATTTTTGCCATTTGTACATTTGTAGGGGATGATGGGAGATGATGCCAAAGTGGGCAAGGCCAAGGTACAACTTGCTTAAGGCTAAAAGGCAGGTAGTGGTTTGTGTGGGGGATTTTTTTGGGGGGTGGGGGAAAAATGCCACCGCCTCTCTCAACTTCTTTCTCACTCTCTCCCCCCAAGGGCTACAGTTCCCATTTCTGAAGATGATGGTCAAGGAACTGACACCCCCCCCCAAAAAAAAAAAAACAAGGAAGGAGGAAGGAGGAAGGAGGAAGGAAGAGGAAGGGAAGGAGGAAGAGGAAGAGGAAGAAGAGGAAGAGGAAGAAGAGGAAGAAGAAGAAGAAGAAGAAGAAGAAGAAGAAGAAGAAGAAGAAGAAGAAGAAGAAGAAGAAGAAGAAGAAGTTCGGGGTTAGGAATTGGAGCCAGTTTGAATGGGATGATTGCTGCTGTTTCTTTAAATTTGTCATTAACCCCAGAGGGTCAAGTAGGTTAAAAGGAGGGAGGTGTTTTTCTCACGTTTGATTCACGTAGTTTTGTTACAGTAGCTCCACTGTAGTAAGGGAATTAGGCGCAGGAGGAATAGGGAAGTTTAGGGTACATTCCGCCACTAAAAAGAAAGGAAAAAAAAAAAGGTGGCCAATGAATTTAGGCACTGGGGGAGGAAATCTTTGCCAGGGATAAAGGGTGTATGGCAGTGGCTGGCAGAGGTCGTCTCCTCCCCTGACAAGCCCCCCCCCCCGCCCCCTTCTTTCTGGGGGGGGTGGAGAAAAGGATCCTATGAAGCTGCGACCTCAGCCACCGGCGAGGGCATTCCGTGACTCCCATCTGACAGCTGTTTCCTCTCTCTGGCTTCGTCTGCCCGGTATTCGGACCTCTCGGCGACGCGGCTTGCTAGAACTTCGGAAACAAACTGCTTCGCTCCGCTCCACAGTTTTGTTAAGTTGGGACCAGGATGGGCAAATTTGCTTCCCCTGCGCTTCTGGTCTTTAGCCTGCTTCTTCTGGTCGCCGCCGGAGTCTGCGGTAAGTTGGGAACACCCGCCGCTTCCCTCCACAGTTCAGCTGCCGAGCTCCTTGGATGGCTGCTGATTTTCCGTCTCCACTCCTCCCCCCCACACCGGTTGAAAGAAAGCGGGGAAGATCTCTTTCCTTTGCGTTTGCTGGCTGCGAAAGGGAAGTTCAAAACTTAATGAAAAACCGTCCAAGCGTTACCTTCTCCCTCTGCTTTCCAAGATAACTTGAGGCAGGGTACAATTTTATGCTTTCATACACTATAGTACTCAAAAGAAAACTTTTTTTGAGTCCAGTGCTCCTTTACCTTCAGGCCGGTGTGTGCCGACGATTGCTTTCCTATATTGAAGGGGATGGGAATATTTTTGCCGTTGGAAACAAAAGCCTGCCTTTCAAACATAGTATTTAAAATGTAACAGGGCAAGTTTTGTTTTCAGGTAAAATCTATATCTGGTTCTTCCCGTCCCAAATTTGATAATATACAATAACCAACTCAACTCTGAAGGCTTGGAAAAGACACTCAACTTAGCTCCATCATTCAAACTAGAATGCTGCCCCATCCAGAGATATTCATTGATGTCAGGGTGGGGAACTACCATCCTCTAAAGCGGGGGTCTGCAACCTTAGCAACTTTAAGCCCTGCGGACTTCAATTCCCAGAATTCCCCAACCGGCTGGGGAATTCTGGGATTTGAAGTCTTCCAGGCTTAAAGTTGCCAAGGTTGGAGACCCCTGCTCTAAAGGAGGTTGCTACCTTTTTTCTACATTATTCTAATCCTAGTTTTATAACTATTGGAGCAGCTCTGGATAACTTTCCATTTTCCAAATTGATTTTTCCCCCTTAGCCATGCACGTTTAAAAAAAAATACAGGGTTGGCTTGTCTAGACTTGGGCTGGGGCCTCTTAGAAGACAATAATTAATACAGTTATAGCCTCTATTCATGTAGACAGACAAGTATGAAAATATAGTACATTCTACTCTACAACAAGAATGGATATAATGTGATCTTTATGTTCCTTTAGTTTTATTCAAAATATGTTAGGGTTTAATCTCCAGGGTAACTAACAATTGACATAATTAACCTCAAATGGTTAGGTTCACACAAGAATTAAGACCAAAAGCATGCAATCCACACCATCAAGTTTTTGGGACTGGAAATAGAAATCCTAGCACCCTATGCCTTGGCCTTCCAAATTCTTCTTGTATTCAGATTTCAATCCAAAACATCCATTTCATCTACCTATTCACTTCCGTTCTACTTCACTTTCCTAGTTGGTGCTACATCAAGTCATGCAAATGAACAAAAGGAGAAGGGACATAATGTCTTTGGGAAAATTAAATATGTGTGTGAATAAAAAGTCACAGAGAGGAGCCAGGAAGGAGAGATTTACATTTCTCCCCTAGTCCTGCTCACCATGTATTTAATTAGTACGTTTCCAAACTGTCCACAGTCAGAGTCAGTGGTCATATATAATAAAACCAGGAGCATTTTAGGAAGAAAAAAGTGATAAATTAAATCTCTCTCTAACACACAAACATACACAAACACACAGACTCTTGCAAAATGGTTTTCTTCTCATACCCAGTCCATCCCTAAAGAAGCTTAAAGTTGTTTTTAGCTCTTCTGATTATCAAGTCATGTTTTACTTCTTGTTGTACAGATATGTTCTGGCATATTTTACATCATTTGGTAGGTGTTAAAGTTTGGATCTATCTCCTGCACCTTTAGGCATCACTTCTTAGGTCTGGTTGCTTGGCACAATTCTCTCTGGCCTCTGACACGAAGTTGTAGATGTCAGCCCTTTGAGGTAGTTCAGTATTAACACTACTTTTATTGTAAAGTTACCATGACAGAATCTTTCAAACCTGAAAGCACCACTCCCCTCACTTATTTTTACTCTCCAGAAAACTAGGGAGGGTGCCATCTGAGATCATGTTTCCACACTCATCCCTCTTTTGGATTAAGGTTTCTCTTATCTGGGCTGCGGCTCTTCCTCCTGTTTACCCAAGGTTATTTTCACACATCCCATTACTGTACAGCAGGAGAAGCCAACAGTTGGATTCCACATAGACTGTTTCCCATGTCATGCCTGCTCATCACTTTCCATTTAACCCTTGTCAGGATTTATTTTATAAACAAATCTTTAGTGCTTTGGACCCGTTTTGTTTTTTTTAAACACAGAGTTATTGTTGCTTTGAAAGAATACTAGGCTTGTACTACCAGAATATCACTTTAAATTAAGCAAGAAAGTTGGATGGTGCCCATTGTATGCTACTAGTTCTGTCATCATTGGATTCATTTCAGGTTTTCTGATGCTTCTGCCAACAAAGGGATTTTTATGGCTGCTCTTTTTGATCCTTGTATTATTGTTTATCTCTGAAGAGGCAGCTAGAGTGCTGAAAATTGTTAGGATTGTTGTCTCGGAATCAGCAAAATGCAGATGCAGCCTCTCTTTCCCTCTCCTTCTCCCCCTCCCTCCATCCCCACCCCCTCTCTCTCCCCTCCTCCCAGTCAGAGGGAAGTGGACATCATTTCTCGACATTTGTTGACAGCACCATCCTTCCCTTGGTGGCGATAGATGACTAGCCTTTTATTGATTGTTCCCTCCTGCTGTATCCTACACACTCTCTACACCTGTTATTTGTGGGTCAGGCTATAGAACATTCTTTCAGAAAATTGCTATACCCACCTTCAGAAATAGCCTAATAGGTAAGAGACATGGGACAAAAGTTGCACCATCTGAAGTACCATTTCTACTTCATCCTGTCCATGTTAATCAAATGACTGAAGGGATCACTTGATGCATCTTTCCAAATTTGCCCAGTCTGTGTTAGGGTTTGGTGTTTATTTTCCAGCAGATGGAATGTTTGGTGGGAGGAAAAATGAGTCCAGTGGAATCGATTAATGCTTTGCAATATGCAAGTATAGTTAGTTAGGACTGTTCATTGACCTTGTTAATGTTATGTGGCAACAGGGATTGGAACATGATTCATGCCATTTTTCTCTTGGCTCAAGGAGGTGGGCATTACACTGATTTGGTCATGTGGAAGAGACCAATGAGTGCATCCGACTGCAAGGAATGAGGGAAATCATTTGGGAAACAGGTAGCTTGGTCTATATGAAGAAAGCTTACCTATCAGTTAAGTAAGTTTGCAGGCTGGAACATAGTACACAGACAGCACTGCTTGTGCTTGTGGACAATTTCTAAGGACATTGTGATGAAGGGGGTGATGACCTGGATTTCCTTGATATCTCAGCTGGCTTTCAGTACCATTGACTGGGATCTTTGAGGATAAGGAGTAGTGGCCAGGAGCAGGGTTGGTTTCCTTTATCTTAAGTAAGTTCCATTAGTATTAGTGGTTTGGGGAAAGGGAGAGGTCAAGCCTTTGGCCTTTACTCCTGGGGCACACTAGGGGTTGAATCTCTTACCTCTGTTTTAACATCTATATAAAACTGCTGAGATCAATAGACAGCACCCCTCCTGCTTGTTTGGTATGCTGATGATACTCAGCCATACATCTCAACCCTGAACTGACCAAGTACTGTTGCTAATACTATGTCCCAGTGCTTTGAGACTTTGAAGATCTAGACAGAGAGGAACAGGCTTTAATTTGACTTTACATGGTGGAGAGGCTATGGATGTTTAGCTCTCTCAAGATCGGACATATCCCAGATGGTGTTGCACAGAACTGATATGCAAGTAGGGTTATCCTTGATTACCTGCTCCTGTTTAAAGAGCAAGTGACAGTTGTGACCAAGAAGGCCTTTGTCCAGATTCTCCTATTGCACCAGTTTTGTTCCTCCTGGACTCAGAATCCTTTCTCTCAGTCACTCATATCCTAAACACTTCACATTTAGACTTTTTCAATGCATCTATAAAGGATTATCTATAAAGGATTATCTATGAGAACCATTTGGAGTCTGTGATTGGTCCAGAATGCAACCTTATGTGACACTTATGTCTATCTAAAATATATCTAAAGGTTGCGTGAGCTGAAATGGCTAGTGAGTTTCAGTGTGCAATTTGAGATGATGGTGGTGACCCATAAAACCCTTCAAGTGTGGTTACCCAGAGGATCCATTTTCGCCCATTATAACTGCCCACTGGCAGATCCAGCAAACTGAGCATGTTCCTTGAAACAATATCTAAAGGATCCCAGGAAGCATGCCTTATCTGGAGAAGCATCCACAATGGTATAACCCCAGGGATTTTTTTTTTAATTTTAAATTTTATTGGTTTTTAAAAACAAGCATAAACAAAACATAAAAACATCAAGCTATCTTCCATAGGTATACATACAGTGTGCTGGTTGGTTTACAAATTGTTTTGTGCTTCCATTTCATAGTCTTCAATTACAATTACATTACATATAATCTCATATTGTCAATCAAAAATTAAATACCTTAGTATCATTATTAATCAATCATTTGACTATACTTTTATTTATTCATGTTTTACAAGATAACCATAATTTACTTAGCTTATTTTATAACAGTTCATATTATCATCCCAAATCTATCCTAAAATCATTTTGTAGATATAAGAAAGAAGTACATCTTTATATATTTATTATTTTCTAAAAGTTTACATATTTCATTACTGTACTTTATTGTCTAACCATTGATAGAAAAGATCCCAAATTTTATAAAATTGTTTATCCTCTTGTTCTCTAATTTCAAATGTCAATCTACTCATCAGCACATTCCAATATTTTCTTAATGATTTCCTCCTGTGATGGTATTTTCTCATTTTTCCAGTTTTTAGCAAATACAATCTTAGCCGCTGTTAATACATTTACAATCAGATATTTCAAGTCTTTACTATATATTTCAGGTAAAATTCCCAATAAAAATATCTCTGGTTTCAAGTCTATATGTTTTTTTGTCATTTTTTCCAACCACATGTGGATTTTAGTCCAGTATTTTTTAGCATCTGCACAAGTCCACCACATATGGTAATATGAGCCAGGTGTCTGATGACATTTCCAACATTTTTCGGATTTATTCTTGA